ACATGCATCATACCTTGCTTACATGTTCATGCATCATATCATTTCACATGCTCATCCATCATTGATATAACATGCTTATTCATCATGCATCATGCTTACATGCCTACTTGCTTGTATGTGGATGTACTAACTTTTTGCATTTGGCATAGGAGTACGAGGTGAGTCCCTTCCTGCTGTGTAAGTAGGTTTGTTTGTTGGTGATATAGTTTTGAGTGCTTTACATGTTTTATTTGCTTGTTTGTTTTATCTGCTTGTTGTGAGATATATGTTGCTATTTTGTGGTTGCCATTGTGCAGGTTATCGAGTGTCATGCCCCTTACACACACTCACTTTCATTTTGCATTAGGTCCGTGTCGGAGGTGAACCCGACCTCTAGTCTGGAATCCTTACGAATCTGGCTTGGAAGAGCAATTCTTCCCGCTTTGAGGAGTAAGATCGGTTCCCATTAGGTTGTTTCCATTGGTTAATACAACACCTGATGATGTAATATCATTCTGTGTATTAGCTTTTGGAAATATCTCTTGTTGATTCCAAAAGGATAAATGGTTGAGAAGGCCTAATGCCCTTTAGGAAAGCATGTAATGGCCTTAAAGAGATACCAACCCTAGGACATGTTTCCCTTAGCATCCCACCCGTGAGGCTAGGCGTCCCGTGTTTAAGACAAAAGGGGCATTTTTCTTTACTAACTTTGTCTCCGCACATGACAGGTTTTTGTTCTTATATACATTTGAGGTATGATTAGTTATCCATCTTTTGCATTTAGACATCATTCTTGAGGTAATGAGCATTCCATGCATTTCGTATCTTCATTTTCAACCCCATGCATCATTAAAAAAAAAAAAAAACAAAAAAAAAAGTTCATGATTGTTTCACATGTCATTTGTCCATCCTACTCATTTCACATTAAATCTTCCATATGTCTTGAAAATTTCACATATGCCCATTGTATTGCATTTTCCATCTCATGCATCATAAAATATGTTTTCATGTTTGTCTTGTGGGGCATTCTTCATCATACTCCTTTTAAATCCCATTTTTCATCTCATATTTCACAAAAATTTACAAAAAATGAAATTCCACTCATGTTCATTACATTGCATCTTCCATCTCATATAAAAATTGCACAAAAAAAAGAAAAAATCTCATTCACATGCATTTCACATTGCATTTTCTATCTCAAAATTTTCATTCCAAGCATTACTATCTCCATCTCATATTTCCCTTATTTTATAAAAGTTGCAAAAAAAAAAAAAAAAGGGGAAAAATGCAAAAAAATGAAAATTTTATCTATCTCCATTTCATATTGTTAGTTTCCTTCTCATGCTTCTTCATCTCATCTTTCTCACATTTCAAAAAAAAAAAAAAAATGTACAAGCTCTCATTTGAAGAAGTTCTCACCATCTTGAATTTTGTCTTGTGGGCCTTATTCAACTAAATCCAAAGCATTTCACATTTTTGAAAGAAAAAAAAAAAAGGGAAAAGAGGTTCTTCCAAGATAAATTCATGAAAAGTCCATCTTTTAGACATCAAAATAATTTGAACACATGATTTGGAGCATCACATCATCATTTTCTCCAAGCATCACACCATTCACTTTTTCTTTAAGCTTCATGGCATCTTTTCAAAAGAATGATATTTTGTATGAATGCTAACGTAATGGTTGCAATTGTGGATCATCAACTTTTCCTTTGAAATTTGCTTGGCATACTTAATGAAGAAAATTCATGTTTTAGGATACAATTTCACACACATTACCACTTGTTAGCATATTTATATTCTTGCATCCTTTATCTCTCATTTCCTATCCATGTTTGTTTCTTTTCTTGCATTCCCAAAAATGCATGCTTTAGGATACAACTTCACACACATGATCACTTTAGGGCATATTTATATTCCTTCATCTATTGTTTAGCATCCATGTTTATTTCTTTTCTTGCATTCCCATAATCTTGTTTGATTCTCTACCTTCAATAATTGAAATATGGATTCATACATAGTCAAGCGCGAATCTTTGTCAGTCAAGACACTTTTGAAATATTCATCCGTGGAGAAAGCTTTGACCAACAAAGGATTTAGGAGATCTTCAATTGCAAGCATTTTCTCCATCATGGACAATTGCCAAGTCCAAGGGGCAAGCTTAGAAGGACAAAAACCAAGAGCAACCTCGAAGATCAAAAGCTCAAGCACATCGCACTTTATATGGCTCTAGCAATCAAGGGATTCTCCAAGAAAAGGAATGCAACTACTCATTGAACAATCATACTTTGAGAGATCTAGGAGTCAGATTTTGCTAGGAACTTGAATGCTACCATGTTGATGTACTTAGTGTGATGTACTAGGCTTTTACTTTGTAATGAATGACCATCTTTGTAATGCATGTTGAACTACTTGTAAATGTCTTCTATGCAACCCTTAGAGTCTACGAAAATCTCAAGGGGTTCAAAGATATTTTGCTTCATCCGAGGCTCCTTAAGGATTGGAAATCGACAATGTGTGAATCCATATAGCAATCATTGAAACACTAGATCATGTAAAATTATGGGATGACTTCTAACATTATTCTAACTTTGTTTATTTTTCTTTTATTTTTTGTTTGTAGGTAGACTACTTCAAGAAGAAAGAAGAAAACAAAAAAATCAAGCATGATAGTCTCCCTGTGTTTTCTCACTCTTTGGAGCAATGCATCATCCATCTAGAAGGCAACCTTCAACATACTCTTATAAGCTCACCAAGATATGATGTTGAAGTGGATTTACACACGAGACATGTGGATCTAGATTCAATGAATGAGGGGGCAAATCTAGGACATGGGGAAAACCTGAGTATTATTGCTTTTAAGGATGAACCCCTATTTGACATGACCATTACTTTTGCCTTGGGGGCACTTTGGCCACTTGGACAGTCAAGCTTTTCTCTGCTTCATTCATCCATGAGTGGGATGAGTCAGCTTTCTAGTAGCTCAGCTTGTGGCTACATGAAAGGAGGGAATAACAAGCTCTTTTATATTCTCTTAATTATTTGCTATCATGCTAATTAGTTTTCCCAGTCTTTACAATTCAGTAATATATGTTGCCATATTGTCATCTTTCAAACTTGATGCAACTCTTCTTAATGCCATTAATATGCTCAAAAAAAAAAAAAACAAAAAAGAACAAAAAAATTTACTTCCATATATATGCTTTCCTCACATGCTGTTGCTTATCCATGTTTCTTTTTGCTTTCAGGTTTTGCTAATGATGAATCTGAATACAATGATGCCATTTCAGGATTGGTATATGTTTCAAATGATCCAAATCCATGTCGAGGAAGATGATGATGATCTCGATTCTTCCCTTGAACTAATTGATGTGTTGCAAAATAGAGGCCAAAGTTGCAGTCAAATGTGATAGACTCATACAGAAGAAAGAAAGAAAAAAAAAAAGATAAAGAAAGAGAGAATAAGGAAATCTTGCTAACTTAAGTGGAATGATTGTCATCATTTTGAGGTCTAAAGTGAAAAGCTCAAGGATCAAAGGCCATCTTTCATGAGCCTAATTTCCAAACACTTTACCCAAAAGAGCCATCCTTTCGTCAACCAAGTTGAGCCTAAAAAGAAAAGTGAGCCT